GCGCCATCATGCGCGCCTTCTGACAGATTTTGCAAAATGGATTCTTGGGGTAATGGCAAAACTGGTGAGACTTGCTGCATGCCTCTTGCTCAAGGTCAGATGCCTTTCTAGACCTGACGTACTCGGTTTCACTATCGTGAGCTACTCCCTCATCCACGCCTTCTTCCTCGGCACCTTCTGCTTTTGCAGCAACCATTGCAAAAAGACGTAACAGATCACAATCTTTCTTGAACTGTCCACTGTTCAAAACACGACAAGAGCTATCGATGACCGGCACACGGCCGTCTACGTTAAGCTCAATGACTCCCCATGTCCGGACGAATGAAGTAAGGCCTACCATCAGCTGGCCACACAAAACTGTAACCCTGTTCCATACACCTGACACCAACCGAAAGAACAGCAGGAGTTTCTTCGAGGATGTATGGTGAGAATGGCTGATGTAGGGCATCGACTTTTACGTCGGCCACCTCATCCGCTCGTGTCGAACCGTTCGCTGTAGCAAGGCTGATTGGGGTATCGCTGACACGGCGGTTTGTCGCCTTTGCAGTCTTCAGCATACCCTCACTAATCAAATCCTGTTCACTGCCCGTGTCAACCAACCAAACACATCCATCTTTTGATGCCGGTGTAGCAACAGTGGGCAAATGAGTGTTACTGACTTTGTTCTTGGGACCAATCATTGCTCTACAGTGGTTGCATGATACTTCCCCTTCTGGGTCATTGCATCGGAATCGGCATTTGGGCTGCGTCTCACTGCCGAAGAGCTTCACAAGTTCCTGCAACTGTCGGGCCGAAACCTGAGCACGGTGAGCTACGAGTTTGTCGGGTTTTGGCACTGACTCTGAATCAGGGAACGTCTTCTCATAGATTCGGGGTTTGTGCACTACCTTCCTCTGTTCACCTGTTGCTGGGACTTTGATGTATTCCACTTTTGATGAAAACACAATAGCTCTATGGCATTGTTCTTTCATGGCCTTTGTAGCTTTCGGCAACCCTTTTCCCTTTGCTATGCATGCATACCTTTGAGTAATGCATGGCGCAGCTTTTGCACTGGCCTTCTTCTTTGGTGCAGGGCTATTGGTGCGTTTTGGATCCTTTGTGGGTGCAGCTGCAACTTCATGTTTGTAAAAACACTTGTCACCACGACGACATTTGCCCTGTTGAAAGTAAGTGCATGGGATCTTGGCCATCTCTTCCTTCGACTTTCTGTTGGGGGAACCACTTCTGCTACCACCTTTGCCCTTACCCTTCCTTTTGGGGGTACCAGATCTTGAGGAATCTTTGACATGCTTGTAGGGACAGTCTTTACCCTTTTCGCACTTGCCATCCCTGAACTTGTAGCATATTTTATCCCCTTTTCCACTCTGGCTACGACCACGGGTTCGACCTCGGTCGCCCTTTCCTTTGCCGCGATCTTTGCCCCCCTGAGCGGGTGCAGCGGGCTGAGGCTTTTCGGTCTGCTTGTTCTTTTCAACGATTCTGTTTCTGTTTGAACGGAGTCTTTCTCTATCCAAAAGATCACGAATGTTTCTCAACAAGAATGCATAAGACTTTTGTTCTGACTTTTCAGGAGCTCTGTCAAATGCTTCGATGTCATACTTCATCAATTGACATTTTCGGATTTGTCTGAGTAAGATGTCTCTGAGAACCAAATCATCTGGCGGGGTTTCCATGCCGGCAATTGTGGCGTCCCATCGGTTCAAAAACCTTCTAAGGTCCTCCACAGATTCTCCAGTGCGAACGACTCCAAGTAGGTCCTCGACGCGGTAGAGACTGCCAGCTTCCTCAGACGTCCTGAAGTAATCTTCAAACATCAAAAGGACTCTCCTACCTCTGACTTGGATCCCTTTCTTTGACTTCTCATCTTTGAAGTTATGGATCTTTGTTGCTAAATCACCTTTGGCCGAGCGAGTTAACGCTGCCGACAATTTGGTGTCAAGTGTGATAAACTTCCCAGGTTCCTGCAGCTTTTCCTCCAACATTTCCCTAGGGGTTTTATTGTCAAAGACTTCATTGAGCCAAAGCCAAGCCTCATCGGGTTTGTCGGAGCACGACTTGACTTCGTCCCTGACGTGATTACGCCAGTGACGATACGCTTCTGGGGCAGGCATGTCGTTCAGTTTGATAGTCTCTGCCTCTTTTGTTCGGGGCTTTTCACCATCTGAATCCTTTGAAGTCAGTCTGGTGATGAGATCTAGCAATTGTTGACCTGAAAGACCTAAGCCTGCTTCAGCTGCTTTCTTGCCAGGGTCGCTTGCTATTACTGTAGGACTGGGCACACTATGTTCTTGATTTGCATCATCATCATTTTGTCTTTGAACTGGCAATGGTGGAAGTTTTGGAGGGGCTGCTGATCCGGCAGGGGTAGTTGAGAACAAGTTGCTCAACCTTTCCTTAGCGTCCATGGCTAAGCTACTCATACCAGTGTTTGGCATGGGTTCTGCTCCAGCCTTGGTACCAACCGCTGATTTTGGGGTCATGTACAAATCGGCATTGTTCCCGCCTTGTGAATCATCAACTTCAACGGCTCTGTCGACATTAATTTCCGGAGCGCTGTACTTGTTGAGCTTCTCCATCAAATCCTCCACTTGTCCCTGCAATTGGAAGTTTAGTTCAGCAGCTTGGTTTTCCTGCCTACTGCATTCCTCTCTAATCTCCTGGATTACAGCTTGTTCCTCCTTCTTGAAACCTTCCATGCCATTCTTTGCATACTCTACTGTTTCATCCACGATTCGTTTACAGTCTGCCTCGAGGCTACCTCTGAGTTCAGAAAACCTTTGTTCATACTGGGCTGTAACATGGGCTACCTTTTGGTTTGCTCTTTGCTCAGCTTCCAGTGCAACTGCATTTGCAGCGTTCTTCAGCTTTGCGTTTGCATCGCTAAGTTCCTGTCTCAGTTTTGCGACCTCATGCTCAGTTGCCGTTTGGGACATTGAATACTCTGACACTAGGTGTTCATGTCTGCGATCAGCTTCTGCACGTTGATGGGCAATTTCACTAAGGCAAATTCCCTCAAACTCTTGGTGCAGTTGCTGGACCTTTTGTTCCATGAGATGTGTGTGTCTCTCTTCTGCCTCTTGTCTGAAAGCGTCAATGTTACCTTCATTAATGTAGGTAAGATTGTTCTGCACGAACTGAAAATATGCCTGGACGGGCTGTGTGAAGAAACCTTCATCTACCGACATGGGCGTGGGAGTTGCCCCAGCCGTCACAGGCTGAGATCCAGTTGATGCAGTTGCCATTGTTCCTGAAGCAGGTACGAGAGCGCCACCACCTGTAGCATCATGTGACTTGTCCATGGCTTTAGAGACTACGGCTGATAACCTGTATTTTCAGGTTTCAGCTGGGGTTATGTTATAATCCCAAATAGACTGATAAACCTATGGGGGCAAAACAATACAACCGTTAAGCTAGCAACCCAGCGCTTTTTCTCCTGAGCCGCAATGCTGTAATGCATACTAGTTTACATAGGGTTTATGGTGGAGTGCAATTACAAATATTAAATTTAAAACCATTAATTTAAAAAACTGAAATGCGCGATTTCAAAATCGACTAAATTCCTGTTTAAAGTCTAACGAAAATATTACCAAAAATTGGGTTTCGAAGCTTTCCCCTAATATAAAATCAAAAACCTTAGTTAAAAGAAATAAAATGTTTGATTTCAAAATCGATTAAATTCCTTTTAAAATCGAATCAAAATATTGCCAAAAAATGGATTCCGAAGCTTTACCCTAATATTGAATCAAAAAACATAATTTCAAAAACCAAATATATATATATATATACATTATTTTAACAATCGGACCCTAATGAAAAACACCCCGGGGATAACTAGCTATTATTATTGTGTAGGGGGGTAGAACCTTCAAAAGGACCTTGACTTTTAGATTGTTTTCTTAAGGGGATCAATTAAAAGTCAAAATTGACCAATCTGAAATTTCCCAAAACAAATAATCTGGGGTAGTTGTTATCATTTAGGGCAGTTCTAGTAATAGGGAGAAGGGATTACATTGACTGTGACATTGACTGCGATTGGGAAAACATCACTCGATGCCCAACCGTGCTTGATGCTCTCACCTGCGTTTCTGCAGTTCAAGTAAGTCGCGACTTGATATCTCTCATGAACCTCAAAAAAGACTGTGAAACACGCTCCGATCAAGCAAGGACCGGTTCAAGAAAAAAAGCTGCCTGAGTCAACGTTGAGGCACGTCAAAGATCTTCGAAGTGAATTGGAAAAGGGATTGGCTCCTGTAAAATCCATCCTAAGATTCCTAAGGATCAAATCTTTTCTGGTCACGATTCACCCGTGTGAACCCTGTGATTTCGTGTTAAAAAAACTTCGCCAAAAATGCCTTTCAACCGGAGAAGCATCTGAGTAGTTTCTGCCATCACCTGCGCTATCACCAAGGGGGGCCCCTGCCTTGCCGTGGTACTAGAGCTCACAGCAGTGGGCCTGGCAACTGCTCCAGATCTCAATGAACTGGAGGGTACTATGTTGATTGTATGCTACTTACATGATAATTACATGTGCCATGGTCACGTTACATGGATAACCATGGGTATGGTCATCCCACCATCATCAGGGATTCCTGGTACTGTGTAAATCCATATCAATGCTATGACCATCCGCTTTGTATAGGAAGAGACTCCATGTAACGTGACCATGGCACACATCTTAACTTTAAGCATCTGTGTGCGTCTTTCTCTATATGTTATAGTAGCCCACAAAAAGATGCTGAAAAGTAATTGACCACCATTTCGTTACTTGGATGTGACTGAAATCAGTTGGATAACACTAAAGAACAGAAAAAACTTGACATATGGCAGTGTGTCAAAACCTTGTACCCCTGGTGAACATCAAAATAGCTGGTAAATGGATGTTCATCCCACTGAAAATGGTATGTATAGGTATTGATCCATAGCCATATGAGAAACTTATTTGATCAACATATTTCTGGGTACTTTTCCACAAGAATCTACCGTGAATTCTCACCGTTCGCGGCCTCCGTTGCGGCTTCTTTGCGCCGCGCTTGGCGCGGTACAACTGGGCACAACCTGAGGGCGACGAAATGGTGGGGGCACCTGGCTGAAACGCTGATTTCGGCACGAAAAATATGATGCAAAATCATCAAAAATGGTGATTTCATGGCAGTTAATGGTGATTTCATGGCAGTTAATGGTGATTTCATGGCAGTTAATGGTGATTTCATGGCAGTTAATGGTGATTTCATGGAATTTAATGGTGATTTCATGGCAGTTAATGGTGATTTCATGGCAGTCAATGGTGATTTCATGGCAGTTAATGGTGATTTCATGGAATTTAATGATAATTTCATGACAGTTAATGGTGATTTCATGGAATTTAATGGTGATTTCATGGCAGTTAATGGTGATTTCATGGAATTTAATGGTGATTTCATGGAATTTAATGGTGATTTCATGGAATTTAATGGTGATTTCATGGAATTTAATGGTGATTTCATGGAATTTAATGGAATACAATGGGGATTTCTATAGAATTGGATATATCACCAAGAATATGATATTTGGATATATTTGGGTGTCTAAAAATGCTGGATCTGCCCCACTTATGCTCATGTTCATCGGGAATATGATGACAAACCACTGGATCTGGAAGTAAACCCAAAATGGGCTTCAACTAACCACTTTATGGGGATATAACACCAACCAGTTTATGGGATACAATCAGGGCATATGTCTACATGTTATAGATATACAACTACATAACAAACATGTGCTAAAAAATGGATGATGATTCTGATGTTATTTGGCTGTATCTGAAAAATTGGGCATGCCGAAATTTGCCAAAAACGCATATTGCCTTTCTAGTTTGCGGAAAATTATGATGAACCATTTGGGTTGCTGACTTTCCCAACAGGTACAAGGCAAATCGGAAGGGTCGACACTTGTCTAGCCTACGATGAACATCCGTGATAACTGGATGTGGGTCAAAATGGAAGACCTAGGGGACCACAGATGTTAGTCTAGTTTAGTATTAACCATCCATAATTTTGGGGTACCTAATTTTGACCCATACCCAACTGTTGAAAGTACCCAAGAACCTCGCAAAGTGTTTTTTGTGGAAAAACACTTTACGTGGCACGTCTGCTGAATTTCTGATGTCTTGCTGTCGTGCTGCATGTTCCATCTCTGATCCATTTGATGGAATCGGAGAGGATGAGGATGAGGATGTGGTTGGCAATGGTTAGTACTGGTTATTAATGGTTATTAATGGTTATTAATGGTTATCACTGGTTATCAATGGTTGATGATGATGAGGATGATGATGATGATTCCACTCAAGTAGGGTTTTTCTGCAGTGCTGGGCCAACGGGCGACATGCAATGGCTATGAAGTTTCCATCTTCCAGAAAGACCTCAGTTTTTCCACCCGTAAAATCATGGCTTCTGGGTGCCAAGTTCAGCCAGAGACCACACCCGGATGTTCATCCTGGAATCACAGAAAGCCAGTAGCCCGCAGTGATGTCACCCGTGACTGGTCATCAAATATGGCTAGCTGGGAATTTCTGGAAATTTGGTCATATCTTGTCCCCAAGAAATCCCAATCCCAAGTCCCAATCCAAACTTCCCAATCGAAATCGCCGCCACATGAAATCCCAATAAAACGAACACTGATCTTAGTGTTATGTGGTGACAAAGTGAAACCTAGAGGGTATTTATTCAAAAAACATCACACGACATCAGTGTTTTATCCAATCACTGATAGTAAATATAGTAATGTTCCCATCAAAATTATCTGAAATGTTTCAGAAACAAATTTCTGATAGTATGATAGTGTGATGTTCCCATGATCAAAATCACTTTTATAGTAATTCCAAATACATTTCACATTTCCCATGTTTTCAAATGTGATGTTTTTCCCAATGAACTCCCGGTGGAAATCCCATAGGTGATCCATCGGTGATCCATCGGTGCCGGACATGCCAATGTAGACCAGCCATAGGGAGATCATAAGGACCGCCGACACCTGAGAGCTGAGCTGGCGGGGGATGGTTCGAAATGTGTGGCTATAGTTCTGCGGTGAATCATGGGTGAATAATGGCTTCACCTGATGGTGAATCTGAGCCGATACTCTATGGACAACTATATTCATTATACACCTGTATACATATCATGCATCTAAGATCTGTCTATCTATCTGTCTATCTATCTATCTATCTATCTATCTATCTATCCATCTATCTATCTATCTAATTTATCTATCTAATCCACTCTAACCTTATCTAATCTATCCAATCTAGCTAATCCATCTAAATCATAGGATCTACTCAATATGTCTAATCTATCTAATCTCATCTCATTTCATCTATCCAATCTATGCGTTTATGACCATTTATTGATTGAAAAAACGCCTCAGTGTTCACAATATCAGCAGCAACAGGCTACGCTGGTCACACCGGCTCCGCCCTTGTCGACAAGCGACGATTTTCGCTGGAAGCGGCCTTAGCGCAACGGTGCAACGGTGCATGGCCATGTCTTTGGGGATGCAAAACTGCTCGGCAGTTGACCCGGAGAATGGCCCCTTGCCCTCTATGTTTTTTTTCGGAAAGGACTCCATGACTCATAGTGACAAAGCCCTAATGCGAACAGATTTCTTTCTCTCTGCTCATGTAGATATTCATGTGTGTATATACGTATATAATATGACAATTGAGAACATGTGTACAGAGAGAGACACAAATTGTTCGAAAGATCGACAGACAGATTGATAGATAATGAAATTATATTCCATCTATCAATCAATCTATAGATCATTCATGAAAGCTGAGTCCATCTCTAAGGTCAAGACCCCCCAAGCTCTCCTCCAAATAAGCGTCGACGGGCCTGGAGTGAAGTAGTGAAGTTCTTCATATGGAAAACATAGAAAACAGCTAATATAGATAGAGTATGTATGTAAGATTTTCCATCCTAAACCATCCAGCTATGGCGGGTAGCCTCATTTATGGAACGCCCAAAATCCTGAGATCCCCACGGCTAGGATCGCGACACACAACACCGCGCAGATCTGAGATTGGCAACGGTAAAAAGGGGTGCAATGGTTTAATGGGATTTGATGGGATTTAATGGGATTTGATGGGATTTAATGGGATTTGGTGGGATTTACAGTAATGGGATTGAACGGATGATTCATCGTGATTTTCATGAATGCCCACCATGGGATTTAAAAAGGGATCCGAATATGAAAAAACACACCCCCTAAGAAACACCATCGAAATTTTCGTAGGGGATTTCCACATCAGTGAGATGGAGATTGGTGATGTAAGTTAAACTTAGGATGGGACCATCCCCAGTAGCTGAAAAATCACCTGGGTATACCATCATCATTTGTTGTTAAAGGGTTACCCTCTGGTAATGACTGACATAGCTATTGAAAATGGCCATAGAAATAGTGAGTTTTCCCATTAAACATGGTGATTTTCCATAGTTATGTAATAGTTTACCAGAGGGTAGTTTCAAACCCCTCTATTTTCATCAACCAACCAATGGGAAAAGGACCGACATCTACGCTACTGAGTATACCTCTATTTAGGATGAAAAATAACCTCCAAATGGTTGGATGGTGCATTGGGTTTACCACACTACCCATGTATCCCTCAGGGTTTTTTACCCCCGATGATAAGGAGAAAACTCGGTCTCCGTCCCAGACCTTGCAATGGGATCAGAGGGAATAAACCTACCATGACTGGGGATGGTTTCAATCGCCATCAAAATGCTGATTTGGGGATGGTTTAAGATGGTTTAAGCATCATTTAAGCGTGATTATCCCATCATTTAACGATGACATTACTACCTGAACGATTTCCTGCAGTCGTCACGGGCGGGCTTCCTACCGCACAGTCGACCAGCTCTGGGTGCAACCGACAGAGAACACGGTGACGCTGAACGCCAGATCGCCGGCCTGGGCACTGAGCTGCAGGCTGTGGGACCTGTGGGACCTGCGGAACCTGGACCCACTTAGTAAATGGATGGATTACCCCCCAGTTAGATGAATGCAATATCCCCACATGGGATGAAATATGGGTTATATATATATATACTGGCAGGCTTTCTTAGCCACGTAATTATTCCATGATGTTGTAGCCGAGATTTCTTTTTATTAGCCACGAACGCAAACTTAGCTGCGTAAGAGTTTTATGCACATAATGTGGCGTAATTCTTCCTTTTCATGTTTTTTTCTGTTCTTGTTTGTTTCTTTGATTATTTTGCATTGTGTACTTTCTTTTGTTTGTTTTTGTTTTTTAGTTCTTTTGCATTTTGTACTTTATTTGGTTTTTTTTTGCATTTGTTTATTCTTTTGCATTTTGTACTTTCTTTTGTTTTTTTTAGATTAATGGATTATAAACCACCCGATCCGTGGGGCCCGCACATCCAAGTGGAGCTGGGTTTAGTCTCCAGACTCCCTTCATGATCGTAAGCTCATCTCACCATCAACCACCATCGACTCGTCCCACTTTTGGGGATTGAATGATACTCGGAGATCTGGTCGCCTGGTCTCACAGTTGCTGAAATCATATTCGGTCAGAAATGACCTCTTTTTGTATTCTTCAGCCAACAAACAAACTCAGGAAGTTGTGTGCAAACTGCAATTTTAAGAAAGTTGTAAACCAGATGATGGTTATTGGTTGCCAGGAGAAAAAGCCATAGAATCCTCTCCTGTTCAATGCAAAGTAGCTGGGATTTATTGATATCCGTCCGGTTTTGATAGTTTTGATTCATCCCGAACTTGGCCATACTATGCCATACTATGCCATTCTATAATTTTATGCCATATGTACTGCCGAGGAAATCAATGGTTTTGGCTTCAGAATTTCACTCTCCGAAGCTCGTTCTGATCACGCCTGCACAATGAAGGCCCCCTCCCGAAAGGCTTCTGGAATCTGGCACGGCGGAGAATTGCGATCACCATCAACACACCATAAATGGGAATTGAAATCCTGCACAAAGGGTCGGTTTATGGAGGTTACCACAGAAAAAAACCTTGATCAGACCATGTGTCGCAGGGAGGGAAATCCGTGCAAATGGAGCTTTATAGCTGGGAAAATCATGGAACTAAATGAAGATTTATTTGGAACATATCATACATACATATATATATAATATAATATAATATGTATAATATAATATATGTATAATATAATATATGTATAATATAATACATATTATATATATATATACATATATATATATATGGGTGCGTATAAATAAATATACTGTGTATATATATATATATATACAGTATATATATATACACAGTATATTTATTATATTACTGTACAATACTGTATATATATATAGAGAGAGAGATACATATATATGTGTGTGTGTGTTGGAGTTACCATATATATATATATTTACATTTACATAATACATATACTGAACATCTTCAGAGTCAAAACAGCAACAATCTTGGCCCCCAGAAGCTTGCCTTCAAGTGAGGCTCTGTGCCAGGGCCAAATTTCCGCCTGGAGTTTGGTGCCGATTTCATTGGATCGGTCCACTTTTTTTTCATCCCAGGAAACCAATCCCAAATCATCCGATGGTTATTTTCCGGAGGAAACCCTGAATATAAACCAGATATTTGAATATTCAGATATATGAAACATCCCAAATCAATATAAACCCAGTAAATCATCCCAAACATGGATTTTTACCCCAGATATTGAGGGTTTCCTTCTGACACGTTCCCGAAACTACATCTACCGTGCTGTTTAGATTCTCTTTCCGAAGGCCCAAAGAATGCATATTGTGACCTGGTGTGACCGTTACAGTTTGGGTCTGCAAAGCTTACATCCAAATGGTGGAAATGGAAATGTTCAACATGGTCCAGTTTCAGAAATTTACAAAAATCTACAAAAATGCTTGAGGATTTTACCATTCTAATGGCGTTGAAGGATATGATGGACCATTCAGATGTAAAACTCAGATATGGCTTTGTCAAAAGCCAAGCTCTTTGCTCATCGATTCCCCCATATTTCAATAGCCACAAAATCCAAATTGGTGACTTGGTGCTTCTACATCCCAAAAAAAAATCCCTGAAATCCCCATGTTTGATTATGAAATCACCGACTCAGACGTGACATAGAAATTATCATCCCATTGCGGATGATGTTTCTACCGACACCAAAAAAAAAAACAGCAACTTCATAAAAACCACTTGAAGCAATGGTGAAAAAATGGCATTCAGTAGGTTTACCTCACCAAAATACCCCTATGATTTTTCATGAATTTCAAGCATCTCCATATTTTTCATGGTTCATCCCATGATGGTTAAAGCCAAGTTTGGATGGAGAAATCCCTATTTTCGATGCCAATTTCCCCCATGAGTTTTCCGCCAACCCCTACCCTTGGGGACCTCCATTCATCGTTGGCGCCGGCAGCCCAATAGATGGCTCCAATGGTCCAGGGCCTAAAACGGGAGGGATTTACCCTCTGGTTAACATACAAAAAGCTATGGAAAATCATTCAGAAACCGTAGGAAAACCATAGGAAAACCACAGGAAAATGGATTGGTTGAAGGGAAAATCTCACCATCTTTCATAGGTCAATCAACTATTTCTATGTGCCATGTTCAATAGCTATGTGAAAAATTACCGGAGGGCAGTTGAGGGATTTGTGGTAGGGATGATGTATGGGATAATAAATCCCATTCGATTCCATGTAAATGGTGGGGATCATATATGAAATTTATGGATGATTCAGTGATTCATGAAATTACTATAGATTACTATATATTCTGGAATATTCTTGTAATCCATTTATATATAGTCATTCTATGTTCCATATGGCAATTTATATCTGGGATGATTCACCGATGATTCATGGATCTTTTTTTTTCGGATCTAGCACGTTGGTATAATGGGGCTATACATAGGGATATATATATATATTGTGGGAATGTAATGGAATATTACTAACAATCTGATGTAAAATTGATCAGTGGGTAGGTTCACCCCCCTGGACATTGCCCCTACTGAAGTCCCCCTGGTGGCCAAATGGGTAAACCCCCAACGGGGTACTCAGGAGTACGCTGCTTTTGGAACAAACCGTAAACCAAATGAACAGAGAAAAGAAAGAATGCATACCTTTTTCACTAGAAATCTAATCATCTAACTAAATCTAATATTTGTTATTTACATTTATTCAAAATTCCTTTGGATTGATGTGTACATATATATATATATATATTATATACATATAAGGACAAATTCAGAAATCGTTTTTCACTTGACACATGCAAGACCTTGCCCTCCTAATCCTTCACCCCATATTTTCCTCTATGCGGCTTTGGTACCTGAAACTTAGGGGAAGAAACATCTTCAAGAAAAAACTCACTCTGCCTATGAAATTCTGCATGTTTTTATGGTAAATCCAGAAAAAACACCCCCAAACAAATCCACCTGGTCAGCTGAGTCAGGTACCCAGTATCATAACCCAGAAAAACACTTGGCTATAACTTTAGTAGATGGCTATGATAACCATAGTATAACCATAGTATAACCATAGTATAACCCATCTAGAAAAATCTTCCGAATAAGATAAAAATCCACGGAATTCACCTACCATCTACGGTAGTTCATGGCTGTGACACAGCCAATTCACCAGGATTTAGCCATCGAACTACACCAGGATTTTGCCAACACCGGAGCTCCGGGTGTCAGCTCCCGTGATCTGAGACGTGGACATGCCAAGACCCAAGAACACGTTCACAGAATTGCTGCCAGTGACATTTCCAACCGATGCATCAGCCTGCGATGCAAAACACGTTGGACGGTCCACATTGAGACGATTCTGCAGGTTCCACATTTTCGCAGTTTCGGATACCTGAAATGACCCAGTCAACGGCCATGCCACCCGGCCAACCGGTCAATGGTCGGACTTCCGGGCTCCCAACATGGGGATCTTGTTGCGCAGCAGTCTTCGAAGCAAAGGTATCAGGTAGAGATGTACCTGCGGACCATGGGCGCCACACCTTTTTGAGCATTCATGAGAGGAAAGTGATGTTTCCGCACAAATGTCACACCATTTTGATGTTTTTTGAATTCCGTGAAAATTGGAAGATGAGGTGTCGATTTCAAACCAATGGATCTCTACCTTCCCGATTTGCCATGGATCAAGTTATCACCAGCGAGGAAGTCAACAGGATATAGAGATGGATATAGGATAGAGAGATAATTAGGGAGATAATGATAGAGAGATGGGATAGATAGATTCATTGGTTTTGTTTTTGGAAAAGTGAAACCGGAAACATCAGCTTGATTGTCAAAATTCATTGGTTTCCGGTTAAGACTTCCCTCACCCTTCGGTAATCAGTTAGGTTGCTAGCTGCACACGAATCATGAAGATTTGCTGGGAAACTCATCTAACTCAATGGCTGATTTTCCATGCACCATCTTTGATGGTAACCATTATTACCCTCTGGTAAACCAACAAACAACTATGGAAAATCACCATTTTTAATGGGTAAATCAACTATTTCGACTGGGCCATTTTCAAGTTCGCAAACTGTTTGTTTACCAGAGGGTAACCATTATAAACTGCCAAAAAAAGCACTGTTCACCGTTATCAGCCATGATGACCCATGAATCTGGGTAAATTACAGTATTTCTCTAACCTGAAATAAGTCTATATATTGGGATAGTTACCTCGAATCCGAACCATTCTTCCGGGGTCGCAGTGGTTGGTCGTGATAACTTATCCACATGTCGAGATGTTGGGACACAGGACGGATGTTTTTCTCCCTGGTACATCCCTGAATGTTCATAGTTTTTTTGGTCATTTTTTGTCATGTGAAATCCAAAAAGAAACCCCTGAAAAATTCACAGTGAACTGTGGTCTAAAAGTCTAAAAGGGAACATGAAAAAGATCTGAAGATGGGAAAATCATGGAAAATCCCATGGCAAATTCCGGTGTTCAGATTTTGCCGGCCTAGGGCCACGAAGGTGATCGCTGTGCCCATGGCCTCGAGGATTTTGATAGTTTGGGCGCTAAAGGTCACTGATGACTATGAAATATAACGATAAAAACTATGAATGTGTCAATGGTTCATGATTTTGATGTGTGGAATAAATGTTTGGAATTCTAATATTAAGATTTAATCATCTAAGATTTGGAATGATCATTCTAAGATCAATCATTCTAATATTCGTCATTTGGAATATGAATCATTTGGAATGATCATTCTAAGATTTCCTATATAGTGCACTAGAATTTTAAGTGCATGTCTAAGTTTCACTTAGAATTACCAAAAATATTAAATATTATTTTCCCGAATTCTCATTGGGTTTTCATATTGCTAACTATGAATCTGAGAACTACAGTATTTTTCAGATTGCGAACTATGAAAAGAAATACGGTTTCCAGTTTTTCGTCCAAGAGTCATGAAAAGATTGAAGATGTTTTTGTGTAAACAACATGAGAAAAGTGTGTGGATGCGTAATCTGATTCCAACATATCAAATATTGATATACATATCATATGTATGTATATATATATAAGTAATTGAAAGTAACTATTCGTATTATCATCCAACTAAACATACATATTGCAATTAATCCTCATGTTTCAAAACATCGATTGATCAGATTCATGACTGCCTCGGATGGCCATGGGGCCTTAATGCCCAGGCAACAACCAAAGATCGCAGCGACATCTCCGATGATGGCCGTCACCAGACCTGAGAAAAGGCCGGCCGGTCCGGTGAGGGGAAGACGTGGTGGTGAAGACGTGGTGGCAAGTTTTCCCAACATCTGTGAGGCAAAGAAGTAAAAAAATGATTCAAGTGGTTTCAAATTATAAAACTAAGCCATAAATTGGCCATAAATGATACTAAACAAGGACAGTATAATTTCGCGTCTTAAGACATTTTAGTGAAGCTTTCGAATGGGGAGACATATTCAAAAAAAATTACGGCAAAACCCATTGGTCTCATTTGTTTCGGGCCACTTGTTTCAAGGCACCCAGAAGAAATCTGAAGAAACCCATCATCAGTATCTCGTGCATCCCAGTCATCTCGAGAGCCGGACCAATGAAGATCAAGGAGAAGCAAAAGCAGACCCAACCTGTCTCACGACTGGTCCCCCATTTGGGGGACACAACGGACCACAGGATCCCAGCCTTTTTTTGCACCGCATGTCCAGTGGATTCGTTCTACAGAAAAGATCCAGACTTCAGGATCTACCGGTTCGGGCCTCCACAATAGTCTGTGGGTGGAATGAAGGCGAAAACAATTTTCCAGGGCCTCAGTTGGAGAGAAGTCTCGCTTCTGGTACATCTAAAATGCTAGCAAGGCATATTATATTGATTTATATTATTTCAACTTCCAATTCTGAGGATTTTCTCCGAAGAATCTTGGCTCGACTGCAAATCTTCTCCTCCATGGCCCGGTTCCGCACGTTCCGTACCAAGGGCTGCACAATTGAATCACGTGAAAGGACTGGCGCGGGGCAGGTGAACCACAAGAGACAATTGAAGCAGTGGCGATCTACCCCTCTTCATGTTACGTTCAGGGAGAAATAAACGATTATACTACCCTTTATTTATATATATATATGATGGGATTGTCGCATCAGCCAGGGCTCTTGTTTTGCAAGCGGCTTTGACAAGCCTCCGAAGTTCAAAAGAAGGATGAAGTCAGAACATGAGAACAATGCCAGCGGCTAATCAGCTAAAAAACCAATCATTCTCGTGCTTGCACTGCCCATATGTATATATATATATATATGTGCATGCATATATATATAGATAGATAGATAGATAGATAGAAAGATTATAGATGGGGGATCTTCATAGTCCATGAACTGAGAATCCCGTTCCAAAATCTAAAGCAAGCAAATCCATTACAACAAGGCTTGAAGCTGAACCTGACAATCCTGGGGGTCATGCTCTCCGTAGCACAACTGATTCACTGTGTGAAGCTTCTGCAAAACCCCAAGATTTCATGATGGCCATTGTCAGGTGTGCTATCTCCGATCTTTAAAAAAAAAATCATGTGGACATCTCATCTGCAGATAACACCACTTGGGGGTGCTGTTCCAGTTTACAAGTGGAGACATCTATCTATCTATCTATCTATCTATCTATCTATCTATCTATCTATCTATCTATCTATCTATCTATCTATCTATCTATCTATCTATCTATCTATCTATCTATACAACTATAGTTATGACTTATAACTATAGTTATAGGCAGTCATAGGGGTTATAACGGTTATAACTCAACTTATGGGTGTTTGAATCCCATGGTGAAATCCCAAATGATAACCTACATCGGCTTGTCGCCGAACATTCACCAAGCACCCAGGCTGCGGGTGCGATTTTGTCTGCCAAGAGACCCAGGCATAAGCCTTTTGCCCAACGGTCCGCTCTTCGTCCTCGCGAGAAGCACCGAATTGTTTCAACTTCAGCTGAAAATGGAGATCTCTAAAGCTAGGATAGCTAGGGACCCAAGTTGTCCAAGTTAGTTATCATCCAAGTGAAACTCGTCATTCTTGGGGCCGGGAAAGCCATGATGAAAGGTGCCCCCCAAATGGCCGCTTGGGATTGCCAAATTCTGCGCCAATCCAAGGTCGGATAGAAATCGGTCCCCTATATGGATCTGAAAATTGGATATACCAGCAAAATGCTCATTGTAGCTTAGGCTTCAATGAAAGTGTCCATCATTTGTTCATCATCTAGTTCCTAGTTTCATCTAGTGAGTTACCATCTAGCTGATGACTCATTGTTTCCATCTAGTTCCATCTAGTTTCATCTAGTTTCCATCTAGTTTCATCTAGTGAGTTACCATCTAGTCGATACAGCATCATTTGTTCCATCATTTCTATGGGACTTTCACAAACCCAGACCTCATCGAGATCATCGTCGTCTCCATAGACGTCGAAGACGGCATCCTTTTGAACAGAGAAAACCGTCGCGGACGGTGGAACGATGTTGTTTTCACATAGCATGATTGGATTAGATGAATGTGTCTAGTACTGAGAGTCAGGTTTCATACTATTACATACCATTACTAGGTCTAAGAATGTCTCTTGATACTATTCATGAGCTGAACATAAATCACACGCTAGCCATTTGTGTCATTCCGAAAACGGACAGAGAAAGATGGGCAGAGCCCAAGTCGTCCTTGAACTGCCTCCCCCAGTTGGCGTTGCCAGTTTTTGCCTTCCCCTCAGGTCACAAAACATGACAAAACTGCTGAGTTTACAACTGTTTTCAAAATCTCGGCATGCTTTCAGATGTACTGTATTCCAAATCCAAAAAGAAATCAAAATACTTCAACATCCCAGTAAAAAAATAAATGAAGTTGTTTCAACACCCATGTGCAATGACCAATCTCACAAGTCTCAAAGGATATCACGGGCTGTATCCCAGTTTTCTGGATGTTTCTGGATGTTTCTGGTTTCCTATGGAGGTTTCCTGAAATGGAGGTCCCCCCAAAATCATCCAATGTTCACATTTTCCCATGGAAATAAACAATCCTAAGCTCGCTTGGGGTACCCCACTATGGAAATCCCCACATGGTTACAAATTTAACCCCTTACTGAATGGGATGTACCTCCATTTATCCATTTATTGGGATTTTCCCATTGTAAACCAACCATTTTGGGTATCCATTTATGGAAAAAAAGCAAATAAGGATCACATGACATTCTGTTTGATAACTTTGAATAGCTGGTGGCTAGTGTTATAGCATTTCTATTACCCTCTGGTAAACGTTTACATAACTATGGAAAATCACCATTTTAAATGGGAAAACTCACTATTTCTATGGACATTATCAATAGCTATTTTGACATAACCAGAGGGTATATCCCATTAATATCCCATTGAATCACTATAAAATCCCATTAAATCACTATAAATCCCATTGAATCACTATAAAATCCCATTAAATCACTATAAATCCCATTGAATCACTATAAAATCCCATTAAATCACTATAAATCCCATTGAATCACTATAAATCATGTCATTTACCGATTGGATCGTGGCTGCTCCCAACGAGAGAGGCATTGAGGTGCCGTGCCCAACGCACTGCCAATGTGCTTCTCATCTTGTCGATGGGATCCCGAATGACCTGGACGCCCGAGAGGAAAATGGCGGACAAAAACGAAACAACGGCTGCATAGTTAGGAGATAGTTAGTATATAGTATGTGTACGTATATATATATACATATACATAGGTGTATATATATATATACATGTATATATATATATGTGTGTGTGTATCATCCATGAAATATCATTAAATTCTATCAAATTAGCATAATTAGCTAAGTTAACAACAAAAATAGCTGCAGGAACTCGTCTTCTTCATGGATTTCCCATGATTTCGGACATCGGGGCTCCCGGCCACATCTGTTTTGATGAAGACCGTCAGGATGCAGGTTTCATCTCCTGGAACGAGGCTGCTGAGTCCCCCAATGGTTATGACATTCACAGTTCGCCATGGTAACACGATGGCCTACAGTAGAAATAGATGGTTTACCGAACTTAATAGCATGGTGATTTTCCATGGCGAACTGTTAGTCATAACCAGATGGTATAAGTTACAAATCTTATAACGTTATAATATGTTATAATATGTTATAATCCAAAAATAACACAACAAAAAAAACGACAGGATATTGATATTTCGTTGATGCTGATCCGAATTGGTCTTCCCAAAAAATCAATCCCCGGCGCCTCCGTCGGTGCTTTCATCAAACTTCGCTCCACCTTCGGGTTCTTCCAGGATAACACGGAACCTGGGACAACGAAACAAACGAGACGAGAACGGCGGCATGGATGGTTCGCGACACGGATGGGGCGCTTTTCATCGCTTTTCAAAGGTGAGAGGAACTCGACATTGAGGTGAGACGCGCAAAAAAAAGCTTGGAATCATGGCATTTCTTAACAATGAATGGAAGATCTTGGATGACAACTTCGATTTTCATTCAGCTTTACTTATTTCTCCACATGTTCTCGGGTTGGCCATCACGGATCTTCAGTTGGAGCTGGCCATCCGTGGCCATGGCCATTCTCAGACTCGCGGGGTCTTGGAAACAAAATATGCACCTCAGAGTCTGCTGCATGGTATGGTAAGGGATGCCTCCGTAAGGTGACGTATGCGAGTTCTAGTCATACTAATACACATGTGTCTACATATCATATATATATATAATAATAATAATAAATAATAATAATAATAAATAATAATAATATTAATATATAAATATATAATGATTTAATATAATCTGTATATATATATATAAATCATGTTACATGATCTCAAAGAGTGATCTTCACTGCTCGGCACCGAGGCGATTGCTTGGGTTTCCAACAAGGACGAGACTCAGGCTCGAACGGACGAAAATGAATATCATTGTACAACTCATAATTATAGTGATAAGTAGTAATAATGATGATTGTAGTGATAATTATAGTGATATAGCCAATCATAATTAATCACAATAATGGGAATTAACTATACTTACTGGTACTTGCTAGGGAATTTTCGGGAATGATCCACTGGCTAACTATCAATTTCATCATCCCAGCAACCCCCAGCAACCCATCCATTCCCTACTATATAAGCACCAGTAAGTTATACAGCTTGGAAAAGGCGTGTCAGGTTTTTGGTCCGTTGTTCGTTCGTTCCAAAGACATCGAAACATGGAATTTATGTGAAGATCCTCACCTCAAACAGGAAGGATCTACGGTGACGATGGTGAAGCACAACATGAAAAATCTGAAATCAGGAGCTTGGTTAAAACAAAAACATAGTAAAACCATAGTAAAATCATAGGAGGTGAGGTTGGTGTCATACCCTCTGGTAATTTGTTACATAGCGAACTGGAAAATGGCCCAGTCGAAATAGTGGATTTACCCATTGAAAATGGTGGATCTTTCCATAGTTGTGTAAACGTTTACCAGAGGGTATTTCAAAACTCTGGGTCAAGGAATATTTCAGGTACCCCTTTTTAGAGGTACTGATCTCTGTCGAAAAATGTCAGATTTCGCAGGCTCCTGAAAGTCCCATTGACCTGGAGCCTTCTCAAAATGCTTGGTACATGGGTAACTACAGATATGATATGATATGATAAGATATGGCTATAAGATAACCATAGATATGGATAACTATATGGAACATGGTACCTCCAAACTCCCCATCTTCGAGAAAGAAATGGCCACGATCCAAGGCACAGCAAAGCTGAAGAAGTGCCGTCGGCATGGATAGATGAAATCCCAGAAGTATCAGGAGCAGACCTTCACCGATGAAAAACGGAGCTGAAACTGCGAACTGGATCCAGCACTGCTAACTGGAAAATCACCCATGTCACTGATAGGTAAAATATGGTAAAATCCTCATAGATCGAATTTTTCAGAAGGAAAAAATGGCTTCCAATTCGCAAACTGCCACAGATTACCAATTGAAAAAGCTAGTGGTTTTAATAAAGTTCCATCAAACCACTGGGTTTTATCATGATTTTACTATGGTTTTACTATGGTTTTACTATGTTACTATGATTTTACATGATTTTACTATGGTTTTACCATGGTTTTACTATGTTACTATGGTTTTACTGTGATTTCACTATGGTTTTACCATGGTTTCACTATGCCATATCTCATAACCAAAGCCACAAGCCCCGACGGCCAAGTCTCCATGGCTGCTGAGCTCACTGGCTCTCTGATCACACCGCGACGTCGCCGTCTCCGCCGTCGCCGCGGCCGAGCCGCAGACCTTCCAAGCAGACCTCACCTCCTGGGCGAAAATCACTTGGAAATATGAAGAAATGGATGGGATAGAAACGGGATATGATATATTAAAATACTATTAAAATACTATAAAATATATAAAGATATTAGATTATATTAGATATTTTGATGCCAAGAATGTAATACGAGTAGTATTAACGCTACCTGAAAATGTGACAGTTACAACGAGAAAATGACACTTGAAATAGCGGGAACATGATGATAATGGAATAGCATATAGCTTTAGAATGTTTTAAACACACTTATTTCGTCAGCAGCTAAATTATCTGCTTTAAAAAAAAAAGACCACTGGCATTGCTCAGTTGGTTTCTACCATCCTGCGACCAAGGAGCTATGACAACAATCAGAAAATAGATTGCACTGTAAAGTGCCGTCTCCAAAAAGGAGATGATGGAAAATACCTCACGGATTGCTGGGAATCTAAGAACCAAAAAGGAACAAAAATGGAAGTCATCATTCTGAAAATAGCTCAATGAATCTATTCATGATCTAGATTTTCATGGGCCATTTCATCCATTTTCTCCAGTAAACTAACTGAGATACGGAAAATGGCGAACGAAAATAAATCATTCAGCTATGATTTTCATGGTGACGGTCCCGGCAGATTTGTCATGGTGCATTTTTACCAAGCCGCAATGATGCCGTAGCGTCGTTCTTTCACCGCAAACCATGCGGCCGCTGAAGCGGTCACTGCCAGCAGCAAATCCACCAATGAAGCAATCAGAAATGACCAAGAGGAATGATGCACAATTGCAAATCCCAGTGCCAGGTCAGCAATAATTCGAAACAACGACAGGGCCAAGGCGACAATGGTACAATACATCAAACGGATAGCTCCAGTTCCTTTGCAATATCGCAGGCCGAGGAAGGTCCCATAGGAATTGAAGTCGTCGCTCTTCAAATTTTCGCAGTCTGCCATGAAGATGCACAACGCGCGCAAGCAGAGACCGCAACGCGCTGAGGGGCCTTTGACACAAATAACAACTTGGCCTTGGAGCCAAACTGCCAAAATACGGGCGTGAAGGAAGGCACCAACCAATCATGATCAATCCATAGACATGGATTTGAAACCTGGTTTAAAAAAAAAAAAAAAACTTTTTATCCCACGTCTTTGAGGACATTTCGGCCGTTTCTCGGTAGTGAACAACTCTGAAAGTGTGACTGAGTGGGCGTGAGTTGGCGAAGGAGATTGGATCAGATCGAAGATGTGAACCGACAGTGAATTTATGTAACTCCCAAAGTTTGCCATCACAGTCACTTTAAGCCTCTATTTTCGTGGCAATTTGAAGGCTCAAATTACACGTGAGACTGTTGAAACTGTGTACAACATGAGAAGCCGTCGGCTAGAACCATGTGCTAGCTGCTTCACGGGCCCCCATTCATGAATTTCACCACTGTGGTGACGAGATGTTTTTCAAAGATGAATTCGTTGCCAGGCTGGTGGTGAATGAGTCGCCGAAATGATGCTCACTGGGATCATGCCATAGAAATCTGGCTGGCACCTTGTCAATGATGTTTGTCTATATCCCCAATTAAAACCATTAACCATTTAATGAGGAGAATGAGGATTAACCCATGGATTTTGGGCCTATTCGAACATACCAACCCATTTGGTTGAAATGGTTGATGAATGAAACCACCAGCCAGAAGCCACTTAAATTGGCACAGAAAACAACCGGCCAGTCATTGCTGGCAGGTCGTTTTTTGGGTCATTTCACCCGCAGGCCCTTGGACCATTCGCCCTTGATGACCTGGCCCTTTTGAATCAGAGTTCCTCAGTCAGCAACACAAATTCCTGATTCTAGCGATGTCCGGACACCGAAATTCCTGGGATTCTGTGGGATATGTTTCCAACTATCACCAACTCTATATATTTTTTGACACAAGCACACAGAAGCTTCACGCTGCGGCAAGCACTGTCAAATTCAGAAGCAGCAGACCCAATTAGCCTGCGAAATCAGGACCAATCGTACCTCCGTAGTCTGTACACAACATAGGCATACATCGGTCACGAAAGGCCTGAGAAATTTGCACTGTCTCGTCGACTGCACAACGACGGAGTGCTTTGGAGAGTCCCTGTGCCAGCGCTCTGTTCAGAGCTGGTGGGTACTCTTTAAGGGCAGCCGTCGACCAGCCTCCAGCTAAGTCGACACCAATAGATGTCTGTACGGGAACATCCTTGGTCACCTGCCATTGCAAAAGATCCTGTTGGATGCCTGGTGCATTGAGGACCATCAAAGAAGTAGGTTTGGGAGACTTCGCGCCCCACAAGCCCTGAGCCAAATGAAGGAGTTCGAAACCAGGCAAGCTCAACAGGAGTTTCAAAATTGGTGTGCGCCAGATTGACACTGAGGATTCCGCCTTGGGCGGGGCAGGATGCTCAGTCAGTGCAATGCCACCTACGCAATACAGGGCAACAACTGCTTCAAGTTGGAAGCCCATAAGCGAATTTCCCACACTCAGCTGCAAGAGCTCACGAAGGCGCAAGGCTTCCTTCCCCCAAGGGTACTCAGCCGTTCGAAGAACTCGAGGAGCTCGTCCATGGGCATCCACCGAGCGCTCTCTCGCTTGTGACCACGTCTCGCAGGGCGGTCCGCCGATCAGGCCGGCAACCAAGCGCCGACGGATCGCATCCTTCCAGAACTCTCTCGCTGAAGGCTTCAAAAGATCTCCCCAAGCACTGCTCAGCACGACATCCAATGAAATGATGTGGATCAAAATGCCATCACTGGTGTCACGCAAGCGGTCAAAGAAGAACTGGAAGTCCCCTTTACGGCGACGGCCCGAAAAAAGGTGCAAGAAATAACGCTCACACCCAAAGCCCCGAGGAACTTGATCAGGGAGTCTGTGCTCGTCGGCGGCATCAGCTTCACGGCAACAGTACTCAGCCAGATCTTGAACGTCTCGGTTCCAATGTCCTTCAAAGATGACCGTGTCTTGGGTCAAAAAAGGCCATGTGTGGGGATCTTCAAGGCGGCCAAGGAGTAAATGAAATGCCTCTTTCGTGATGGGAAGAGCCTCAACATCGGCTGGCGTAGCTTCGTCACGCAGAGCACGCAATGTCAGCAAAAGCCTCTCCCATGTGATGACTCGTCCTTGGATGCACAGTTTGAGATGTTGAAAGCAATCCTCTACGCCCGTGGCGTCCAGCATGATCGTGTAGAGCTCCTCAAAGAGAATGAGATCATAGCCATCATGTTCAGCTCGTCGACCTGGTGCAGGAAGTGGGCCTTGAGCTTGAAGTGGAGGAAGGACACAATCATGTGCACGTTCGAGATGCCCATTGGAAATGGAACCAATGCCCGGGACGGGTGCGACATGAATGCCCTTGCGTTGAAGGCTGCGCCTGCAAAACTCGGCACGTAGCAGATGTCCTTGGAGTTTACCATGGCTGTGGAACTCCTTCAAACAGCATGCACATTGAGTGCCATCAAAGAGGTTGCGCACAGTTTGAAAAACTCCATGGCTTCGAAACATGTGCGCACCACACCCCCCTCGAGAGGGGAAACGTTTCTCACAAGCCATGCAGGCGAAGATCTCTTTGGGAAACTGTGTGGTTTCATAGGGCGGAGGAGACACCAAACTGCCATGCTCATGGAGCTGCGAAAGGATGTTGCGATGGAAACACTGCACGTCGTAGAGATTGTCTCTCTGCGCGGCCGCATGAGCCCCAGCTCGCAAGATGAGCTTTTTCCAGTAGTTTCTATGATGCAACATCAAATATGTCCATGATGCAAGATGCCTTTTGGGATCTTGAAGATCAGAAGAACCTCGAAGCTGCGTCCACATCCAGTCAAGATCACTGCAGATCAAGGAGATCCATTCGAAATCTTCATTGAGCACTCCCCAAGCAGAGGAGTCTGCAGTGGCGTACAAGGCACCCAAGTGCCGCAAGCGCTGCATGCGAAGAAGAGTCGAAGGATCTGGGAGTCCTGTGGCTCTCAGGACCTCTTCATCACTCAAATGTGATTCTTGTGCACGGTGAATGAGACGCTTGTAGAGCTTGATCTTCGAGCATCCGCCAGTGTCCACGACTCACAACCGTAGACAAATTTGCTGAGAATCAAGGTGCGAAACAATTCAGCGCGCCGGCGCAAAGACAAATGCTTGTTCTGGTAAAGCAAACGTCTATGTTGTTGAAATGCGGTCTGCACAATGCTGAATCTTCGTCTGGCCTCTTGCCTCATATCACCTTTGTGGTGCAGGAGGCATCCCAGATGAGTGTAGGCTGTAACCACATGGACTTGCTGCGTATCATATTCAGTGAGAATAGTCAGCACCTTTGGGGCACTGGGTCCAAAAATGCGTTTCTTGGCCGCAACTGAGCCCGGGCCCTGGAATACCAGCATGGCAGCAGTTTTGCCAGGATTGAGGTTGGGCGTCATAGCGAATTCTCGGCACTTTTGGAGTAACAGACCACAAAGATGAACTGCTTTTCTTTCTAAAGCATCAGCATGCGGATCTGCAAAGCAGAATACACTGTCGTCCATCCATGTGGGACCTATAAACCCAACTGTCGTCATGCAAGGTGGATCTTCATTGGTGCATGGGAGCAAAGAACTGCGTAACCCAAGCTCGGCAGGCACATTGTCAATGAGGCCCGCCTCTTGAAATTCAGCTTCAAGGTCATGTAAAAGGCGGGTCCAAAGAAAGCTGAAAATGAGATCCGCCCAACTGTCGCTGGGGCGAGTCCCCAGACGTGTCTTGCATCGATCTTCTTGCCCTTGAAGTGAAAAATGTGTGTCTGCATGTAGCGATCTCACCATCATCTGCATTTGCCTGGAAAGTCCCGCTCTGGCAAGAGCATGCTCATCATCCAAATGCCGGTACAAAGCATGAAGCAAATCCTCTCCCATGCCCAAGCGATGACCCATTTTGGCGATTGTCTCATCGCAGGCTGGGCCTCCGATCGCCAATTCCCGCACAATGCGGTAGAAAGCTTCGCACAAATGAAGAAAGACCATTCCCACATTGAGTCCACGTTGGCGACGAGATCTCAAGAAGGCACGGGCTTGATGGACGCCTGTAGCAACAGAGATCCGGCGTTTGCCGCCCAGCTGTTGTTTTTGAAGGTATCTCTCAAAAAGATCTGCGGAATGAACTCGAAGACAGCGATGAATGGTCTTGCCGATGTGCGACGAAACCAAAATGCTGCGATACGCGGCACAGCTGTCTTTCGCTCCCTTCCCCTTCCAAAGGGGGTGCAACCTTCCACCCTTGTGGAGAAGACTTTCCTGACCATGTGTGAGGGTCTTCAACATGAGCGAATACGTCTTCTTCGCAAAATCAGCGGGACTCAAGTGACAAAGGAGAGCATCAATGCCATCTGGTCCAGTCGCCTTCCCCGGCTTGACACGTCGATACGCACATTCGAGCTCGCACAAACTGGGAAGGTCCGCCAGGGTCAAATCCAAGGAAGAAGCACGAAATGACGCCAAATTGTCGAGCCATTCACTTCTTTGCTGATCTGAAGCCAAGCGTTGCCCCCCTTCCATTAGCATGAAAAAGGTGATCCAGGTGTCCAAAGCTTCTTTTGAACTACGACAAACCTGCCCTTGATCATTTCGTATGAAGGGCAGAGCTTTCTGGTGCACCTTGCGGAGGTTTGTGGAACCAATCACTTGTTTCAATTCATGCAAAATTTGCGAGGCAGGAGCGTCAGGTGGTAGTGATTGAAAAAGCGCTTGCAAGTGAGCTGTCTTGGCCTCTTTGAGTTTCACTCTCAGTTGCCCAGCGGCTTGGTGCAGAGCACTGAAAACCCGGATCTTGCAGCACAGTAACCAAGTGTCATATCTCCAGAAGGCATGACTGGCGTTCTCAAGGGACACATTCTCAAAGGTAGAAAAGCACAAACGCAAGAGTTCAAATCTTCTGCGAGATTCCAATTCTTTGAGCTTCTTGCGCCTATCCAACTTGCAAAGCCTCAAATGCCAGACAGAATCAGGGATAAAGGCCTTCTTGGGTCTTCTCGAGGATCTCGGGCAACTCTGCGCAATGCCATTGGTCAAGTGCCGGTTGAAGTCCTCAACTTGGTGCTCAACATCATGTTGCCAATGAGTCGGGACATAGTCTTGCAGCACTTGATGCACATGCTGACGCGTCACCGAGGCACGGCAAAAGGTTTTGGGTTGGGCCTCTGGAGATGAAGGGGCTCGTGGAAAAGCCCACTCCTTCCACTCAAGCTGCAGAGCAACTGCATAATGATCGAAGCAACCATTGCCAAGGTCAAAATCCGTCAGCACGCTGGAATACGTGCAATTGGTGAGGCTCCCACATGGAATGCAAACATGATCAATGCAGTTGGTGTGCAAGCCAGTTGGGCTGACCCAGGTGTCAACTCCGCCTTGGTGGTATGCACTTGTCACAGGCAAGCAGAGATCTTGTGCACGCAGAAAGGCTCTCAGAAAATCTGTGTTGGCGGTCTGCTTGAAACCATGTGTCAGGACATGTCTGAAATCACAAGGTCCAGGATCAGCATTGGCATCGATGAGAACAAATAACTGTTCATCAGGAGCTTTCAGGGAGGCAATAGTCTGCAGGGACTCCCACCAATCACTGCGCACATCGACTGAAAGACCCGACTGCGGTGCGTAGCCAACCAGAAGGGCAAAGTGAACAAAGTCAGTGTCAACTCGGACCAGCAAGGCCCTTGGATCTCGATGCAGAACCTGAAAGTCAGCTCGTTTGAAGTAGAGCTCACGGTGGCCGAGACGACCATAGGGCACATTGAGGTTTGCCCAAAGCTCAACTCCATAGAGTCCACCGTGTGCATGTCCAGAGCCAATCCTCAGGACGTTCTCCGCAGCGCTGAAGGTTTCTGGAGTGCGACTCTCCTGAATGCCCAAAAAGAGAAGTCGCATTGAGAGAAATTGTTGCCGCAAGTACTCTGTTTTACCTGCATGACCCCAGGATCCATTGTACATCGAAGCAATATTGGCAGTGCAAAAACTCAAAGTCAAACTCAAAGGAACTGGTCGTGCTTTGCCGGAGTCCCTGTCATCCTTTCGCACAGACTTGAGATCAGGTGGCAGGGAGGGCGCATAAGCATGAAGTCCCTCAGTGCATCTCGGAGGAAGGCCATCATTGTAGCTGAAGAAAGTCCAAAGATGAGGAAGAAGTTGACGCCACACGGCCATAGAAATCTTCTGCCGTTGGCAGTAAAAGCTCTTCTCTCTCTCCTTCTTCGCTAACCAGTCCACCATATCATTGAAAGGCTCTTGAGTGTGGCCTGGAATGTGCTCAACTTGAAGAGCGTCACCAGGCAGGGCCGTTTCCAATGCCTGGAAAACTCCGCGAAAGCATTGAAAAGAGATCCCATTGTCAGAGCAGCCAATGCATCCTGTCGCCTGTAAGGCCGAAATTTGTGAATCAGTACGAAAAAGTGTTGGTGTGGCCACGTTGTGCGCCAACCGCCATAGGCATGCCCAGGTTAATGCCTCGCGTTCGGCAATGTCAGATCCGAGGGAATCAGCACCGAGGTGATGAGGACTGTCGGCTTCATAGTGCACTTCATGTGCAAGCCAGCCCAAGACTTCAATGGAATGTCCCTCAGGTCCATGATATCTTTCGCCTAGGACAGTGAAAGCCCAAGTATCTGGTCTGCCTTTCTCAGCATTCCACAAGGCAGGTTTGTGCTTGTCAAGAGCATGTGATGAACCATCTGAATAAATGATGATCCTGTCGAAGTCCTCAAGGTTGACGGAGACGCTCATGCGCAATGCTGCCTGTGTGGTAGATGGAAAGTCATGTCCGGCAGGATCTCGCTGCAAAATACCATCAGCAGAGTTGAAAAAGGCTTCAACGTCTTGAAGTGGTATTCCATACCGTATCACGCAATCATCATCTGCAACGGTCCCTGGGAGCACGAAAGGGCGCCAAGGAGCATGTTGAACAGCAAGTGGAGCTGGCCAAGGCGGAGTGGGCTTATGCTTGAGATCATGCACAGGAAGCTGCACAGACACATTCTCAAAGGTCACATGACGGAGTCCACAAGGCAGATCTTCACTCGACAAAATGACAGCGCGCCAATAACCCAAGCCATAGAGGAAGCGCATCATGTCGTGGTCACTCATGATATGCTCAGCCGTGTGAAGAAAGGCACCCAAGGTGTCCGTGACGTCCGTGTGGCAAAACATGTAGTGATAGTGAAAAGGATCTGCAACCCACCCTTGGGGTAGACACAAGGCAACATCATGTTGGCCAAAGCGATGCACATCACATTGATGTCCCCAATGACAAAGTTCTGCTCGTATTTGGAGTGCAGTGCCAGGGGGTTCGCATTCAATGAATGTAGGCAACGGTGGCATGGTGGCTCCCGCAACCAGACGGATGGGGACTTGCATTTCATGTTGCTGAGTGTCCTCTTCCGGGATCAAAGTGTCAAGAAGAAGGACTGTTCGCTTCAAGCCAACTTGGGTTTGTAGCAGAGCCAGTGACTCATCATCTTCCGCTCCATCCTCCAAATGTGCTGGTACTGCAGGAACATGTTGTGAGGAGCTGGCAGCGGCTGTAAGATGATTGCGAATGATGAGAAATGAGAACCCCTGCCGAACTGGGAAAACATGTCCATCACGAAATTCGTGCTCGCCCCACCAGATCATGCAGTCGACATGCCCAGGAAGACAAACATGCTGAAGGTCAACTGCCGTAAGCAAGTCAGGTCTGGTCAGTGCAGCAGGAACAGTGCGAATGCAGCTGGGTATTCCAAGGTCAGTACTGCGCGGATCCAGTGTGGCAATATGAACACTCCGATGATCAGGAAGAGGGTTCTGGACAATGAGCACATGCGGCGCCCCAATCGGTGACCACAAATTGGATCTCGGCTGTGGGGTGAGAAGATACAGATGTAGAGGACAGTCTGGATCAACTTTGTCATCCCATGCTTCAGCAAGGCGATCAGCCCATACTCCAGGATCACTCAAGAGGCGCACAGGTCGAGGTTCATCGCAAGATGGCCATCTTGTGCCATCAGTGTACCACGTAGAGACATAGAGGACACGCCCTTCTTCTTCTAGTTCAACAGCAGAGTGAAGCCACCAAAAACGGTGAAGTCCATCCATGCATTCGAGATGTTCACCAAGATGCAATTCAGGGCGGCCAGGCGGCTCAGGTGCTTCAAGAGGAACAGCAAATTCAGGGCCTTCGACAACACTGGTGTTGTCAAGTTTGCATTGCTGACCCATCGGAACTATGCCGATTTGCATGGTGCTCATATCCTCATGATTCCGTGTTGATTCATTGCTGTTGTTTTGAGAAACATCGTCCAAATCATTTGTGGTCGCATCGCACAGCTGCTCAGGTTCCTCAGGATGAGACGGAATGTCAATGCGGACATAGTCTCCATTGTTGAGCTCAATGACATCGATCTCGTCAGAGAAGAGGTTGCCATTGATCCACACATGGCATCGCCACGGCTCATGAAAACAATGACCTTCGAAACCAGCAAGTCGAATGAGTGAGGCTCTGTTGCTTCTGCGAGGAATCAAGGCGGACTTGCGAGAAATGAGTGTTCTCGGACCACGTCGATCAGCAGCATAATTCACATCCTGGAGGCACAAACGAAGAAAACTGACAGAGGGCTCTTCCTGTCTTTTCAGTAGAAGAAGACATTCAAGTTCTTCTTGAGCAATGTCTTCAGGTCTATAGTCAACATGGAGGACTCGCATGATATCCCTTTCCTCAATGGCCAGGGTTTGCGCGCAAACATGCCAAAGCTGGTCAGCGTCATCCCAAGGTGCATTGATGTTGACTGTGCGTCCATCCAGGCAATAAACAATTGCTCTTCGCATTTCATCCAAGCCAAGGGTGCTGGTGCGTGAAGAGCTCGAGGATGTAGAAGGTCCTCTGGTACTGTCCGGTCGCAGTGCAGCACTTGAAAGTGATCTAGCCATGAAGGACGTCACATCTTCTGGCTGTGCATGTAGGTCTGCTCCAACAGCAGGATGCGTCCTTTCAGGCTGTTCATGATTGTCACCTCCTCCATGCCAGTCATGCAAAGGCCTTTGGGCCTGTTGATTTTGAACTCGAACAGCGAGGTTGTGCTCGTCCTCTTCGATGCTCATTGGGGAAGGAACTCTGATGGTGATGCCAAGTCCATCATGGGTTTGGATTGGTTCATCACGCGGAACAAGGCGAAATCCAATGTGAAGAGAACAAACATCATGACCAGCTTGTTCACGAAGAGCACATAAATCATCAACTCCTCCAAGTTGAAGAGCTCGCTCAGGCGGCAAGAGAGGCTCGACTGAGTGTGCCGACTCCTGCACTCTGGTATTCGGATCAGAAATGATGACTGCCGAAATGAGGCAGGCAACTTGTGGTTCATGAGGATTCTGATGTACAATCAGCGTGCCAAAATTGCCTCCACTGGTGATGGCCGGAGGTTGTGGTTGAACAAGATGCACAGCAAGATTGAGATCAGGGTCAATGTGGTCTTCCCACATAAACCGAATGTCATCCTCCCAGTTGTCAAAATCAAGGGAGAACCGCAGCGGTCGTGCTTGATAGTGGTGCCGATGTCGCACATGATCCAGATAATATGAAGAAAGAAAAATGACCGGGGCTTCATCTCCATCCGTGTCAGGTCTCCCTTCTTGCATAAGGATCTCCCAGATACTCCGTTGCCATGGAATTTGTGGCGAGCTCCTGGGAGAAGCATGGCTGCGTCTCGTCCTTGAAGTGGAAGAACCAGATGAGCTTGCTGAGTCAAAGGACTGCTCACGGCCATCTGTTCCTGAAGTAGAGGTTGGTCTTGTACTTCTGCGTCTCCAAGGCTTATCGGGCCAATGTTGGAGAAATTCATGTTTGATCGAAGTAGAGAAAGCTTGTATTTCATCATCTAGTCCAAGATAGAGCTGGATTTCATCCGAAAAGGTGCAAGTTTTCGGCACATGAGATTGGGATCTGACATGATATAGCTATATCAGCAGCTTATTGGGATCTGACATGATATAGCTATATCCACCTTGAAGCATGGCCAACTACAACCAACTCTGCATTGGGATTTACGTAACCAACTATAACCAAGCTCGGAATGGCTATGGCTCAAAATTTAAGACTCCCAACCCGGACCCACAAGGTCCATTCTTTTCATTTGTGTTTGACAACTAGTTTCGAGTCACCCAAATTTCGACCCAAGCATTCTGAATTCTGTGTGTTTTTTCAATGGGGAAAGGGGAATGTTGGGCAAGCTCTTCAAACAAACCCGAAAACGAGGGGACGCTTCGTCACCATTTCTGATGTTCATTGGATCCATAAATTTGGAGAATCCAGCTCCTGAAACGGAACGAACTGGGCCGATGTTGGCTGGTTGGACTTTGTATCTGATTGAAGGGAGATACCCCCTTGTTTTTTCAGATTGACATCTTGAGAATTTTCGGATTTCTGTTGGGTCTCTGATTTTTCAGTTAAGGGGGTATCTCCCTTCAATCATTTAATCAGAGACCCTATAGGCAATCATTTAAATATTGGGTCCCAATAAATATTGCCATTTAGGCCATTTCTGTTAGGTCCCCATGCTGCTTCCAAGATGCCCTTCCCGTGCTGCTTCCCATCTTCCCATTCACCTGGCCGAGGCCAATGTCGAAAAGCACTAAGACTACAATTCTCCCATAAAATATGTATACACATATAATAAGTATATTGCACATATATATATATATACACACATAAATATACATATATATATATGTATATATATAATGTATATAATATGTATATAATATGTGTATATAATATGTATATAATATGTATATAATATGTGTATATAATATGTGTATATAATATGTGTATATAATATGTGTATATAATATGTATATAATATGTATATAGTATGTATATAATATGTAGATTATAGTATATTATATATATACGTATAATAATAAGAAGAAGAAGAATATGTATGTAATATATATATATAATTAATATATAATATAATACTGATGTGTGGCTTCATTGAACCAACCCCACCAGAACCAACAGTGAACCAACTCACTCGGAAAAATCTCGGCTTTGAAAAGGTGGTACCCCAAAAATCCCGTCGTTTATGATCCTGTTCCCTATTCAAATGGCCACAAAGTAGTAAGTTAAAGGCTTCCAGACACCAAGTTCCAAATCGGAAAACCTCCCATCAACATATCGCCCATGTCGTGGGATGTTCATCCATTTTCCACGGAATCCTCAGCGCCACGGCACCATCATAGACGCGCCCGTCCGGCCACTGGAACTTCCCTTTGCCGTGCCTGGCGGGCGGGTGAAGCTGTTGGGTTTTTCGACAACGAACTGGTCATGGGGGTTACCCTCTGGTAAACATACAAAAAACTATGGAAAGATCCACCATTTTCAATGGGTAAATCCACTATAAATGATTATAAATGGACCATTTGTTAAATTACCAGAGGGTTACACCAACCTCACCTCCATGCGAAAATGGATTGATGATTCCCATCCCCCAATCTATCCCCATTATCCCAGCGGAGAAAATATATTCAATCCAGTTGAATGGTTCAGTGAGGCTCTCCATAAATGGTACCCCGAACTCATCTAGAAATCATCCAACGTTGGGCTTTTTCCAAAGAACATCCATCGATTTTGAGGTAACCCCATGACTTATGGAAACCCCTAAATCAAACTTGTCAGAATGCGATTGAGATAGCGGACATAGTTGAACATACCCTCTGGTAAACTAACATAACTATGGAAAATCACCATTTTTAATGGGAAAACTCACTATTTCTATGGCCATGTTCAATAGCTTTTTGTATGTTTACCAGAGGGTAGTTGGACTTAACCATTCAACTGTAGGGATTGAACAGCAGTTGCCATTCTACAGACATTTTTTCTATCTCTACAGTTAAGAACAGCAACTGCAACCGGCCAGCCTTCGTCTCCCCCTCCCTTGGATGTGCATCCCACGAATCGGATGCGTGGAAAAAAAAAAACATTCACCTAACCCGTATTTCATCTCATCCAAGAGGGGATAATTAATCATGAATCTAACTGGGGGTATAATCCATTTAATCCATATGTATATTACATATATACTATATATACTATATGCACACATATATATATATATACATATTATCCCATGAAAATCCCATTAAATATCCATGAAAATCCCACTCGTTGCTGTATTCCCACCTCAAGCCGTTTCTGTAGCTTCCAACGTACGTCTGACCATCGGGCCACCGAAAGCGACCATGGCCATGCATCACATTGGCCTGGGCAGTTGGTATGGGGGAAGGGCTGTTCCACTAGCCGGATGGTTTTTTTGATGGAGAAAAAACGAACGCCCAAAAAAAAAAATGGATGAAAACTGAGGTTTCTGATGGAATTTCCTATGATATAAAATGAATTGAAATCAATGATACCTGGGGGTCAAATCGGAAATGATCCGGAAATGGCCTTGGAACTGGAGACCCCTTTGGGAGCCAAGAAAAATGATGAAAATGATGACTAACCCATCAAGACGATTTTGAGGGGTGCCCTTAAAATTCAGTCAACCCAATAAGTATCCTATATTGTCCTATATTAGGGGATGGTTCTTTGCAACATCCGTTTATGGTGTTGGGGATTGTTTTTTTTTCGGTTTACCACATGATCAAACGTGCAAAGCTTGTGTGACCCGACATTCTGCAACTGGTTTGGAAATACCCTTCGGTGTCATCAAACATGGCTTGCCGGGAAATCCCCCTGGAAATAGGTTTGTTGGGGAAAATCGTCAATTTTCATAGGCTCCAAAAAAATACCCTTTGGTAATTTAACATAGCTATTGAAAATGGCTATTTATAGTTTATTTACCCATTAAAAATGGTGATTTTCCATAGTTATGTTAGTTTGCCAGAGGGTAACTCATGCTTGGTGTGATAGCCATGGCCCATGCCATCATGCCCTTGCGAAGCGGCCTGCCACTGACCATCGTAGCTTCGACCGTCGGCCCACTTCTGCCGGCCTCACACCAGCGAGTAACGCTTGAGGTATCCCCAAAAGGCCAGGAAATCCGGCTCCCACGACAACCCCAAAAGGCGCACCTTGGCCAGTGAAGAAATTTTCACAGAAGTGGCCCTGGTTGGCGCTGCTGACTAGGTTCGCTGGGTCTGGAAGGGTAATGAGGATACATGTGCGAGTTGTTCATGTTTCTTGCTGATGAATGGAATATGTCGAACAAAGGCTGTGACGGGAGTCGAATCCAGGGAATGTCATGCCCTACATTTGCCGTATGACACGTACTGCTGCAAAGCTTCACTTGTTTTTTTTTCACTGGAAGTCTTAAAATATCTTAAAATGATGAATGGAAAACTATACTCTACAGATCTCTACAGTATACATCCTAGCCTCCTTGGTTTTCTCAAAGATGGACCGGGAAAATCCGAGAATTTTAAAAACGTCGCGTCGCTGGAAACAATCCGTGACCTTCCTCACATGGGTCGTTGTCGACCCGCGGGCTTACAACGGAACTTTGTGGGATTGTCTGAAACCAAAAAGGTTGATCATGGTTGATAATCATTCGACTTGATGAGTGATAAAATCAAATGTTATATCATGTTTCCTAGTGTTTTTATATATTTCTGATGTTTATCCCATGGTTTTTTGGAGATACCCGGTAGTTATCCCTTGCTGATTCTCAGCCCATCGTCGTTTCTTCCAAGAAACTCGGTATTCAGAGCCATCAGGCCAACGATAAATGCCCTCGCCGGATTTATTTCCTTCGTCGTAGCCTGGCCGGATTTAGGCCGGATTTTGGCTCATCAAAAATCATGGAAAAATCATGGAAAATCATCAAAATCATGGAAAAACAAAATCATTCAATGGATCGGTTTAAGGGAAAATTGGAACCGGTTTAAGCCCCATGATCGGGAAAATAACTCTGGTTTCCGGTTTCGATTTTCCCGTGAAAACCAATCCATCAAAATTTCATGGAAAAAAAACAGTCCGTTTTTCGGTGCCCCACTTTGTCACCCAGCACTTTCCTCCAGCCAGGGTGCTTCCCGAATACCTTCCTCCATCGGCGTAGTGCTCTTCTCCATGGCCGTGCTTTTGGTCGTTGTGCCATTCACCTTCG